AGATAAATATCTGCTGGAGCATAGAATTCTTTTCTTTCACAAAACTTTGAAGACATTGAATTGGAATCAGAACCAAAATAAATCAAATTTAAAAATAAAAAAAAAAATTAAATCACAATTCATAGCAAAATACGATAGAAACAGTGTTAGGACATCGGAAATGTATTTAAACTTGTATCCCGAAAGACGACAACCATATCGAACTATGTTCAAGTTATTGAATCAAAATCTCACCGAGTTTGGTTCGTTTGCCAATGAAAAAATACGGAGACAGAATCAACAATCAAAATTTGATAAATGGGGATCCAGGATCACCTGGATGCAATTTTTGAGATATGTATTTTGTAACATTTTAAACCGCTTTTTTGAGATGTCTTCAAGCACTTGTATGTCGAATATTCATTTCGGAGGAAATTTGACGTGTAGATTTCCCCGGGTTCATGTTTATCTGCAAATTATTAATTGTTATTGAAAAGGACACAATGTTCAACTTACCTCATACATACCTCATTTATCAAATTTTCTTCAGTTTCCTGGTCCGTTTTGTCTACGTATTTTTGTAACAAATTGAAAGTCAAATTCAGAAACATCAAAGTCAAAGCCTATTATGACAAGAAATAATTTCTTTCGATATCTCCAATTTTTCGAGAGAAAATGATAACTTATGATACATTATTGATGAGGAAAGAATCCAATGTAGCGCCCATAAAAAAACGATGATGGTGCCGAATTCATTTCCGAATCCTTCGGATACTTCACACATTGAAACGATAGAGCCCCGTTAAACTGTCATGTTAGTTCTTAAATGACGTATTTTGGGACACCCTGTACACATTGAAGAATCACACATTGAAACGATAGAGCCTCGTTGAACTGACATATTTGTGCTATCGACAAATTATGAACGGACTATAGGTATGCATATTGGAGAATCCACAAGGCACCGTTATGGGTCCGTAGTTCTCTGGTAAAAATGAATTTTTCTTTTTAAAGATGGGATTTACTTAACCGATTTTCAATCTTTCTGGAAAGATTCCTGTATGAAATGAAAGGTTAACAAGAAACGTAAGAGGTTCAACCAAAATTGTCAATGCAGTTCTAATAACAAAGAGTGGCACTTCATCATGTCCAGAAGAGAATTTGTTTTTCAATTTGCAACTGAGTAGAAGAAACATTTCATTATCAGTATAGGGATATAAAAACATAGAATTATGATGATTACCTAATTTCTTCATCAGATGGTCACAATTTACTTGAGGGGGCATAACAATTTTTGATATGGTTTCGGAAGTGACGTTTTCAAAGTATTCGCTGAATATTTCAGCAATAGATTCATCATCTTCTATCAAGTCATTATCTATTTTGAGGTTTATGTTTCGTACATTCTTTGTTTTATTTGAGAGTTCGGATACGATATTCCATGCAGTCTTTGCTGGATTGTCCGATTTATCAATTTTCTGTTGAAAGTAGTGTTTCTTTGCTGAATCAACAAGACTCTTGTGTTTACGTTTTTCTTGACTATACAAATTTGATAGTGAAGGAGTTTGTTTTTTTAATTTGAACAAGTCTTTCAACTTCATACCTCGACAGTTGGAGTTTGAAATGGACTCTCGAGCTTCTGAATCGGCCCTTTCATTGTTATTCCCAATATGAGAAGGAATCCAAACTATCTCAATGTGTTTACCATCCTGTAATAACTTTCCCAGTTCAGTCTTAATGAGAAGAAGAGGAGCATTTTTCGGGTAGAGTTGTTGGATTTCCAAGACAGCACTGAGAGAATCAGTGAAAATGACATGATCACCAACGGATCTACGACAGTATAGCAAATACTTCTCCTGAGTAGATACTGGAGAAAGATGGCAGTCGATAAGTGTAAGTGGTGGTATCTGTTATCACAACGCCTTCTACTCCTTCAACTGTTTTGGAAAAATCGGTATATACCGGGTGTCCCACATTTTATGTGACAGGCAATATCTGGTTTGTTGAAGGAGATACACAAAAATGTTTCATACAAAAGTTTTAGAAGTTACTAGTGACATTTCAGAAAAAAGCGGTTGGTATTTGCCGCCGCCTACTATTTCAAATTCGTAATTCACCACCAAAAACCAATTCACGATCTGAAGAATGGAGGTGAAAAATATTTGAATTACTTTAGGAATATTGACTGTATCAGTCGTACCAACCATGCCATTAACCTTAAAAACGTAAAATACAGAGATATGTAACCAAAATATAGCTCCGTACATTTTTTAATATTTTTATTGGAAAAATGTTGATTATTGAAGTGAAAAGTGTCAAAGAAGGAGAACTATATCCCAAATGGTTTTGTTTTCATTGCTGGAATTTTCTAGAAGTTTCGTATATTAAGATGCTTTCAGAATAAGATATGAATCCGAAACGTTTAAAGCGCAAGAAGAGAGTTCACAAAACCTTCGACAATATTGAACCTCCCTCAAATTCATCAAATAAAATTTTCGTCTGAAGGTTCCTTCGGAAAACTCGGTGACATCTTATTTCTGAGAATGATTGATCGTGAATTCAACTGGTAATGTATTCTTCGATCGTCCAAAATTGTTCGCATTACGGAAATATTCAAAAGTTGATTTGAATAAAATATTATATCAGAAGAAATATGAAAATGATTCAAACTAAACATAATACATTATATTTGCGACCTGAATTTGTTTGATAAACATTTCCAGTTAGTTTTGTTTGATTTGATGCTTTCCAAGCGAAGGAATGGAACAAGAACATAAACTTTTGAAACTTGTGTAAAGCCTCTTCCTAAGCACTGTCGCGAATTTTATATGAATATTTCATGAGTATCGTGATCCCTCCTATAAGTCTGTCTCAAACTATTTGAGACACTCACTTGTTCAGCTGAGATTACAGAGTGGAAAATGGTTGATGTTTATTTTTCCTTTCCTATTTTTTCTCCCTAGTTCGTGATCTCTCCCTAATGCACGATTTGAATTTAGTACAAGACACGCAGTGCCCGTAACTTGAGTTTGCTGGAATGGATGTGGAGTTGTGATATATTTATCGCATCTGTCAACAGAGACTTCAGAACTTTGACAATTAATGACAGCCATATTGTTGAAGCTACATCTGTCAAATTAATTGTCATCAATTCAGATGTTTTACCAAATCACTATATACGGATATAGTATTCAACAACACTTGCTACATGGATAGCATTTTACAAGTGTTGTTCATGACGAAGAATTTCAAGAACGAAGTTTTAATGATGAACGAGAATGGGAATGTTTCCTACTTATTCATCAAACTCAAACAACTGTTCATGCAGCTGCAGTTTCGTAAGAAGGTATCATCTTTCCCTCCAACCGATTTCCTGGAGTCTTTGAAGTCCACTAGATACTCGTTAGGACAACAAGAGGATTGTTCCGAATTCTTGGGGTTCTTGTTGAATACTCTTCGTGAGCAAAACAATAGCAAAATCAATACTCCTGACCGCTCTGGACTGAATGATTCCATACAGCCCATCTCGTCTTGTGTTTGCAAATCTTTTGCTGGAAAAATCCTCACTTGTTTACTTTGTGGTAAATGTTCAAGAAGTACTGAAAACTTATGTGAATTTCTGGAACTTCATCTAGCTTTTCCTAATACGACTAATTACCAGTCCGTGCAAAGCTTATTGTTAAATCATCTGAAAA